TGTGCGCGTGGATGAGAATATTCAACCTCTCAAAGTTCAAACATTCATTGAACATTCAAGCTCTTCATCGATAGAGGCTCAAGGAGGGTTCATGATGGCTACTTAGACTGATTTTAGTAGTTCATTCACTGTTGGTACGGGCTTCCTGTGACTTGACAGTCTACTAGTCGGTTTACATACAAAAATCGTGAGTTGGTCATGGATGGAATCGATCTCCCTTCGAGGGAAACAAGACAAGACAACAAGTACGTATATATTTTTTGTTTGTTTGTTTTTTAATAGTATTTACGTTGTGAAAACTCAGTCGACTTTGTATGCCTAAGTTCATAGCTTTGATAATGAATCCATTATCATTTTTTTTTTCTCATCGACTGAACAATTCTTTTCAGTGGCAAGAGGGAATTTATACAATAGAAGAACAAAAATACAGATTCTTATTTTTCAAATCACATGCATTTCACATCGAATGTTGCAGTGTGCACCAAGAATACGCATTTCTGTTCAGCAAGCTACAATGGCAAGTTTTGATTGCTTAAGTTGAATATTCTCGCAAGAAAATGTTTACTTCTAGTTTTGAACATAATTTCTTGTCAAGTATTCTTACAAGACGTCGCTTCTTTGCATATAACTTTGTGTCACGCTTTCTTGTTCAGCATCTAAAATGTCCTCCTCAACATAAAGCATTTTCTAAGTTATTCTTGCCATTCTTGATAAGTGCATGACTCCTAAGGTGAAGCACATGTGTCACGCTTTCTTGTGGAGCGTTAACTTGGGATGAATTCCTGAATTCTGTACAGTTGCTTTTAATTAATTCCTAATAATTCTTGGTTCGTGATTTACTGTTACGCACTTGAGAAAAGCGTTAATTGTCAAAAATAACTTTAWAGTACGACTCTATATATCTCGCTTTTCATTGGGCGTTACTTGTCACGCACCATTTTCCATTTGGGTCACGCTTTCTTTCTAGGCGTTACCTGTCACGCACATATGTTGCTATTATCCTCATTCACCCATTTATGCAACGCTTTCTTGTTGTTACTTTTTACGCACACTTGTTTTTGCTTTTATCTATTCATTTGTGTCACGCCTTCTTGTTAGGCGTTACTTGTTGTTTTGGGCAGGGGTGTTCATCAGTATCATTGATGTTACCAGGGAAACATGGTTTGCAGTGTGCACGTCGTGGATGTGTCATCTGGTCATTGAAGTCATCCTAAAAGCAATGTATGTCAGTGTTAGGAAGAAGGCAGKTCGAAGAAGGGAGTATAATATAGTAACGAGAAGAGTTCAAAAAAACCTACTTCGTTCTGCAGGAGTGGGATATAGTCATCAGGGTGAGTGTCATTCACCATCTTCTTCTTCCAGTCAACACTAATCGGTGATGTTAATCTGTCACCATTCTTTAACGGATCCTCGAATTTCAATATTCGCGACAATCGTTTCCTAAAATGATGGTTATAGAAATAAGTTCATTTTTTGAGAAGAATTTGTCTTGCTCCCTATGCATTGGATACCAAGATGTACAGAGTGCTAGTAAATGGAGCCTATAAAATACACTACATCCAGCCTCATCCACTCCGATGAGTTCTCGTAACGTTTCAGTGATGTTTATTCAACTTCGACCCATTGCTTTATACTTACTTTAAGAACGAAGCACCTTTCTTTAACAGTAACGCCACAACTGATACAGCTATCTCGCATGGAAACACATGATATAGTGATAGATTGACATAGTACAACAGGAAAAAGAACATGGGGGCCGTGAACCAAACCTGGAGAAAAATCAGTATTGGATTAGTAACCCAACATCATTCAACATATCTGGACGCATACTGAATATTTGCCGTTTGGCAACATATTTTGACGGTTTGGGATAGAGCAACATCGTTGGATGGTGTTTGAGGGCGTTAACCTACAACCCGGCCAAAAATGCATTTAATTGTTTGCTCGCCCAACATTATAATGGATGGAGTTAAGTTGGCTTCGGATTAAACCTTACCAGCCATTCAGTGGCACTATAAAATATGTTGGCATAATGATGATGATTCTCGCGCTGCAACCGTAGCATAACTATGGTAACGATGAATGACACGAAGATAAAACTATAAACACCGACCATAAACCGATCTGCCAACGTTAAATCCTGAAAGCAAAATGACAAAACAGTTAGAATTTAAGCTTGATGGGGAAGGGAACTGTCACTTATGCTTCTAAGCCTCTTCTCTTTTCTTCAATACAAACACCTCGTATTGCGGGGAGCTTGATATTTCCGTCACTAAAATTATGAAAAAAATAAGAGGCCTCGTTTTCGGCGAAGAATGCGTCGAGTTCCTGCTTAAAACCTTATGTGTGGGATACAAGTCAACAAACAAATGAAATAATAGGACTTGCCGGTGTATCTGGGGTTTGTTCGTTGGTCGTGGCGTGAAACATTACTGCAGATACTAGGAGAGAACTGTTGACAAGAAGCAAAGAGATAATTCAGTATTTTGACAAGGGGTACGGTGTATGATTTTGTATAATGTTGTTGATGAATTGAAGTTAGTCTTCGTCGCCAGACGTTCCCAGTAGCTCCGAGGGAATTTGGGTCGGAGCGGCTTGGAACGCCTGGCTACCAGTCCAAGGTGATGTGTGGGTTAGGATTTTACACTGATGACTGGACCAATATGTGAATAACATATTGATATAGAAGACGTTATCTTACCCATCAATCCATAATCTCATTGATGCGTCTTTTGGAGGAATTGAAAAAGAAAAACAAACCTGAAGATAAAGAAAACATCGTCGATGACTGAATAAACTTAGGACAAAACATTTTGCGACACTGCCTTAATGTATTGCAAACGCTACAAGCACACGATGTAATGTTTTTATCCGCATTCTATTCACGATTTCGTTCGACCGAAAGTTTCAAAAATGCTCTTTGGAATGGATATTCTAACGCTTGAAAGGCCCGGAAATGTTTCTTAAAAAAATTGCGAAAAAATACCCCGGCACCATATGGACAAATGCGTTCAAATCACTACGATATAATGACCGGTGGCTGTTAACGCGCGAATGATTTGAACTCAACCACTCAACGACTGTGATCATTAACATTGCAAACACAGGATATAAAAAGTCAGTTTTATAAAAGTCAATTGTTCATCCATCCATTCAGTTTCTCATGCATTTAATCTACGTACCACAATTACTATAAACAATGGAGGAAGAAATATCTTGAAGAAAGCTGCACGCTTATGTCTTCTCATATGAAACAAGAACTCGTATCTTGACACGCCTTGGTCTAAAAACGGATTATACCTGAAACAGAACCAAACATAGCAATGGGAACTTTAATAAATGAATGAAGTTGTGCTAATCTGTGAAATTTAGTAAATGGCATATATTCAAAGATCGAGAACAATTATCATTTAAAGGAGGCTTGGAGAATTAGTGCAGATTTTCACAATTTTGATTTCACGATTTTTAAAAATGCATTCACTCCACTACGGAAAGACGTTTTTTTGTTACTTCTTTTTGAGGTATTTTAAAACTTACCTTTCATATACAAGCTGTGACCAGGAGTTAGTGTCAAACAACCAGCCTGTGTAGTTAAGAGTCGGAGAAACACCGCTACGAAACTTGAAGTCAATGTCGCCGGATCCCTGGAAATGTTTGATACCCATTCATCAATCTGTACAACACATTCTTCACTCGTGTCATTTCTAGATCTATTGAAAACTAAAAGAGACTCGGTATACCTCCATTAATTTCCATCTAAGCTCTTTTGCTGTCATTTCCATATCTTGGATGACAATTCTTAACGTTTGATTATCATAACTAAAGAAAAGAAAATGAAATAATGAAAAAATAAATGGAAATAACTTCCCATCGATGTATTTCATGACGCTCAGTGATGACAACTTTTTCAAACAAACTTCCTTAACAAGAAGGAGACATTTTGGAATTTTGGGCAGTTAACCCGAAGGACAGTCCGTAAATGGTAGTAGTACTAAACCCAAGCTTGCATTGGATTGAACGCAATCTGAGATGGTGGTACTTACGGATAGTTTTGTAGATCAGCAGCAAAGTTAAAAGCTGATTTAACACGGAAATATTTCCCTTCGTGACTCGATACCTAGYGAGACAAAGCAACAAAAAAAATTATAACAAGAGCATTGTCCGGATTTCTTTAGTTGGTTGGTGWCAAGAACGCTAACGGCATACGAACGGTAGTACAACCGATTGTCTGTAAATGTCAGTGATTGCTGTGCAAAATAAAATCTTCCAACCCGACGGTTGTTTCGTCGAGTTAAAGTTTTTACGCTGTAGTACTCTAGTAAGTTGTAGATGGCGGTCATCGCCCATGAAACCCTAATGTAAAGTACATGATGTTTACATACAAATAACATATGACATGTAATTCATACCTCTGCCTGGCCAGCAGCGTTCACCACCTCAAAACACGTGTTTTTCAGACCATCTTTACATTTTTGTTTGGTATAAGTAGTTTGACCCGGTGGAACTAGAAACACAACATGCATTTCATTAGAAAATTCGCTAAATTCCGAATAATTTCGCCAATTAAAAATTCGTTAAATGTGGTAAAACATTCCYTGGACTTCGTTGGATCAAAAAATCAGTAGTGAGTTCSAATGAGYAGACGAGCGTAAACGATTTAAAGATGTTTGATCTGGAGAGGGGCGGAAAGTGAGACTGCATACTAGGCGTCGACCAAGTCTACTGGGCCATTGGACATGTCAACAKTTCTTACCTTTAAAATAGAGATAAAAGTCTGCGTGAAAGGTACCAGCCTTTAARTCCACAGAGTGTAAATTCATTAGATATAACGCTATCTCCACATAAACTGTTTTCTGCTCACTCACAATCTCAGGACACTTYTCATAATAGTACCTATGGAAATAGAAGCCCGCTGTATCAGTYTTYGAATATGACGTCGAATCGTCTTACGTCACGGTATCACAACGCCGCCCAGGAACTTTCTTAACTTACTTCGACAGATGTAAACACTTACAAAATTTTATCTTCAATAGATTATATATAAATGCAATCATAGAGCATTAAACGTTTAAGAATTTTTTTGAATTTTTTTTTGTGATTGCTTGGTCAGTCAACTTTACACGAAGCCTGTCAAAACGCACGCAGGCTAAAATGACTGAATCGGGAGAATTCAAAAATCATTAGTCTGCAAAAATTGATTCTCACTCTTCAGGTCATGTAGTGAAAATACTCATCAAACACTGTATTTCGGTTATCTCTCACTCAAAGATTAACAATATTTTTAATGCAATAATCCAAAACTAACGTAAGATTTCATTTAAGCTAATTTTTGTTTTAAATCTTTGAAATTGTTTATTGTCTGACATCTGGTCCTTTAGCTATCAATCAGATATTTTTGCCATTTGTTAAAAAAGCACTATTAGAGTAGCTCACGTTTAGCTTCGCATTACAGTAACACTAGTAAAAATTCAGTTTTTTTAGACAATATGAACTTAATTATACGCGCACAGGTATTCTGTAGTGTCAGACATGCTTTACCAAAATAATTATTTTTCTTGTAAACAATATCAGTAAAATAACATGGTTCATGTGAGTAAGTCTGGCTGGGCAAATATTAATCAGATCGTGTAAAGGTTTTCACATAATTGAATGATCATATGAGATTGAACAGGCAAAGATCACGGTACTACAGCTGACATGCACATGTGAATCTTCATGCTTACCACTCCGTCCTACAGTCAAATCCTTTCTTTGAGCCCCCAAGCGTCCCAGGAATACAAGAAGCACAGTTTGTACAGTTTTCTAATGAGTGAATGGCCCCAGGTTTATGACAGTGGTCTCCACAAGCATCGCAGAAACCACAGTTGCCATCACTCARRCACCATGAGCAGTTTCGTCCTCGAGGAGCACAGATGTTGTCGTCCTCTGCTTCCGAGGTAAAGAGCTGAAATAACAACACAAATGATACGACAAGACACACGGTATTCAGCTCTTTCCAATAAGCCATGATTTAGAGTGTATTTCTTGCTATATGGTCGTCAAAAGAAGGTTKTAAGTTGGACTTTTCGTGWATTTTTTCATCGTTTTTAATTGCGATGTAATTTTGTCGATCCACGCGCATGACCAAACGATTTCGGTGATGTCAATGCTCGATTCTCATTGGTCCAAATAGATTGGAAACGTTTTCGTCTATATTTGTTAAAATATTCATAAGAACGACACCCCAGWAAAGAAATAGCGATTTGAGAGAGAAAATTAGGATTTTACCCGAAGAATTTGAATTTATTTCAATGAAATAATACTGTACCAGCGGACTGCGTTCATAAATTATTAACAAGCCACCTGCACGAGTTACAATTGAACTAGCAAACACCTGAATGAAACCGATCACAAATTTTGACTAACAGAGACATAGGACAACTTTGTTTGTTGCAAAGATATCATAACTACATAGAAAGAGAAGGAATTCATTTATATTAAATTACAAATAAAATCGATTTATTTTGGTATTCCTGTGTAGTCATTCCAGCAGGATCGGGCTTCCTGTTTCGCTGGCAAGGAACGCCTTGCAATAACTGTTTTTGTTTTGTTCATCTTTGTTAAGGACGAATTTCAAATCATTTATTTGACTGCAAACTCATGACTTCTAGAAGCAATTGGTTCAATGAACATCCGAAGTTTCAACAAATTTTATCCAACGGATTCGACAAATACAATCCATCTTCATCGAGAACCGCCATGTTGGTTTATCTTGAGCTGTGTGAACGCAAGCATTGGTTTGAAGTCGAAATTCACCCTTGTGACTCATTAAAACGCGTCTTYATTACTGGCAAACCTCGCAAGAAAGCAAAGAAGGAGGCTGTTGTACCTGTTTGTGTTGAAACAGAGTTCAGTGTTGACGATTTACGGAGTATTGTCAGCGAGATTTCGACATGCTGCAAGGAACTCGACCTCGACTTGTCTGGTAATCCAGGAGTAATTCTAGGCATTTGTGAATCAGATTCAAGTATTGTTTATTATAAAGTCTATCAAGGACTTGAACAACCTGGGCAACTAATGTTAGGTGAATTAGAACAAGAGGAAAAATAATGGTGATGGGCTGTTTCTTTTACACTGTGTCTGTCAATAGTCCTCAATAGTCTCAAAATCTAAAGAAAATATTCAAGAGCTGTTTTTTTTTAGAAATATAAATCCCTTCTATTCTTGACACAATGCTGGTGTTCAAGCTYCCTTTCAAAGCTCATTTGCTCCYATTGGCCCCCACTTGGCTCCCAGAAAAAGACAGGAAGCCCATAACTCTTAGTGATGCCTTGGAGGAGGGTTATACACCACTGTTAGAACAAAGATTGTGATTGGATGAAATAACAAAGAATTGCATTCAATACAAAAATGAAGATGTCCAGTAGAACAATAGCCATTGTCTGACATAATCCTACAATTCTTTGTATTTGTTTTCTTGGTCAATCTAAAGCTTCGTTCTGATGGTGGTGGGAGTCTAATACATACTGATGATAAAACGCTGTGCCTGACTTAATTGAAGATTGGAAGGTCTTGCTTCTTCAAGTGGGTACACAGATGACTGTTTGGGTCTTAGAAAGGCTTTCAAGATTATCAAGAAATCAGAGAATCCATTTTCATGTTGTTATATGTACACTAGCTCTGATCTCAGTGACCCAAGTGACTTCAAAACAACCTATCAAATTGCAATTTACCTTTTTGTCTGAATTAAATGAAAGGCAATTTCAGAAGTTCAGCTTTTTTTAAAACCAGGCAGTAGGTGCTACATAGGGGTCAGCCGATTATGCTGAAACTTGGCATACTTTTTGCATTTAGTAAGTTATTTAATATTCTAATTTTTTTTGGGATCAGTCATTAGGAGGGAAGTTAGCCCCCCCCCTCCCCCCCTAGAAAATGATCATTTAAGCACAGAAATTGAACAAATTAACCTTAACTTTGCAGAAGCATAAAAGTGCAAATGTTATTCACAGCAACCTCAAACTTTTTGACATACAAGTTAAACATCTCAGTTAGCGATATCAGACACAGAGATGGAAATATCTGTCAATGTGTTGGCATAGCAACCATATGACTGAACACAAAAATTCCAAATTTTGAATTTATTGAAAATTCGTGTAGTTTTGAAGTCAATATCTCACAAGTGCACATCRATTTTTATAAAAATGACTGTTTCTTAATTAGATCTATGTCTCTAGTTATCAAAACATGAAAAACATYGGTGGGCATTCATTAATCTTAAAAGATATGATGTATTTAGTTCACCCTRTTTCGAAACATTGCAAAATTCAATGGAATTAACACATACAAATACYAAGTTAGACTCCTTTARAMAGACTTTAAATGACTTTAATAAACTATCAGAATCTATTTTCGTGTTTTGATGTAAAACATTTTAATTAGGAGCCGAATTTAAATTTAAACAGACAATTTTGTTAAGACTAGTATATGCAAATCTATTTTTTGTTACCAATTGTGTTCTAAACTGGATAATTCGCTGAGTAAACCTGAAAATAGGAAAGAAGAGATACAGATTTTATTTAACACCAAGGAAAAAGCTGAAATTTGCATATAGCGTAAAGATTCGTTCCGTTTTATTAATTTGCAAAATGTAAAATCTAGATGATTGGAGTTTTGATATTAAAAAAAAATCCAAATCTCAACCAAACTGGGAAATTCAAAAATAACTTTTGAACCGTTTGCAACAGGTCTTTTAAAAAAGCAAGAACAATTAACGTGATAATTAAACACAAATAACTGCACACCTAGTCAGTCATCTCAAAAAAAAAATCTCTTAGCTTTGCTTTTATATTGTCAGACAAACTAAAAACTGAATTCTATTATATCTTAAGTTGTTTTTTCTTAAGTTTAGCCTTTTATTGTGGCTTTAATCTCTTCTATACATAGTCAGATCTTAAKGGTCACAGGTACACAATAGATTCATATGAAGGTATGACTTTGKACAACACTTTTGATATGTAAATTTCTTTGACAAGCGAGGCATTCTTCATTMACAAAATGTTAGGAAGAAGATCTTACGGAGTGCATTTCTGTRCGTTTATCGTATGTTCAACATTGTGTTTAGCAAAGCATACACCAGTAATTCTCRTYTCYWTGGAYGGCATGGGATGGCAGTTTACYGGTGGRCAATATGCTAATACACCCAATCTTGACTTCATAGCCAASACTGGAGTCCAAGCAAAGTACGTGGAGACGGTAACACCTACCTATACGTGGCCAAATCACCAAACCTACGTCACTGGACTGTACCCTGAGAACCACGGCATTGTAAGCAACGTCTTCTGGGACCCTGTGATCAAAGAGAGATTCATTTATAGTTATGACTGTACCAACTACGATCCTAAGTTCTGGTCCGATGCCGAACCATTATGGGTGACACTGCAAAAACAAGGCATCGATACAGCAGTGTATTTTTGGCCAGGATTTTCCAGCTACAGCGTAAAGCCGACGTACTACGAGAAGCCGATCTGTTTTGTGAATTGCAGCAGCATTAAGGACCTAGAGGCAGCACGCAAGCCAGACTTTTACACGGCACTTGCACCATACCTTCATTGCTTTCCAAATTTGTCAATTCCTTTTCCAGCTCGCATCGATTCTATTGTCAACTGGTTAACTTCAGATAAACCGCCTCGTTTTGTTGCCCTCTACGTGGAGCAGCCTGACTTGGTTGGCCATTCTGATGGATGGAAATCTCAAAAATTCAAAGAGGAAATCGAGAAAGTCGATCGCGACGCCGTTGGGTATTTGATTACAAAACTTAACAAMACTAATCTMCTAGACAAAGTGAACTTGGTGTTTGTTGCCGATCATAGTTTTGYAGATATTAACGCGAGTAGAGTATTATTTCTGGAGGACTATTTGGACTTGTCATCGTGTATGGTGACGGAAGCAGATTCATTTGCTCATGTCTGGCCAAAAGAAGGAAARTTTGATGAGGTGTTTGCTAATCTCACCAAACTAGTGAAACATCTTCCTCTGGGAAAGCTGTACAAGAAAGAAGATACCCCGATGGAATGGCACTACMGAAACAATCGTCGCATCCCACCGATTTACTTGGATKCAGGACTTAGTTGGATAGTCCAAGAAAAACGAAGGAACTTATCTGACAATTGGATCTACGGCACGCATGGATGGCCTGCAGGAAAACGAATGGGAACGATTTTCTACGCACGCGGTCCGTCGTTCAAGAAAGGCTACAAAGTGGATCACGGTTTACGATCTATCGATGTATACCCAATGTTATGTGACATCCTTGGCATTGAACCACGCCCAAATAATGGGTCCCTGTCTAACATGAAGATGATGATAGCGTCTAAATCCATAGCCACCGTGTTTGTTCAGCGTCCAGTCTCGTTTCTTTTTGTATTGATTTTAGTAATGRGTTTATTGARTTTGACCATTTAGTTTTCAAGTTACGTCAAAGYGGGGGCCGGGCCAATGTAAGTTAGATTTTGTTCCAACGAATTGCAGGGATCTATATGATTGCGCCATTGCTTTTCTTTTATAATGATCAATACTACTTGGTCGAGTGGACAAGACTTGAGTGAGGCGGTATTCAGCTGAATTTGTAATAAATTGTATAACCGAACACCATTATGGCAATCGTTTCTTTAAGATACGGGTTCACTAATGCACTGAAAGGATATTATCGATATGACGAAATAGGTACCTGTTTTTGCTATAYATAGACTGCTAGGTCAAACTCAACGAAATGAGAACCCGATTAACAACACTGACGAAAATTAATAAATCACTCTATACCATAGGGGGCGCTCAATCGAGGTTCTGGTACAATTAAGACAACAGCGCGAATTTATTTTCCATAATACAATATTTTTAAGTTCAAAKTGATTATATTTTAGCGCTCGAACATTAAGTTCCCTCACTAGAATCCTAGCGATTCTATGGTTTCTCTTGTTAATGCTGTAAATTTTCCTGGAGCCAAGCTTTAAAAATGATAAAGAAAATTTTAATTTTTAATTTTAATTAAAATATACCGTTAAGATGCTTTGATGTGCCAATAACGAAACTGTTGTAGTAGTAAAAATTGYTATTAATAGAAAAGCATACTTGGACATTTTGTGCGTATTTCGTGCTTTTAAATAAGCGCCTCCCTCGAATAAGCGCCCCGTCTCAGACTCGAGAAATTAAACAAGCGTCGGGCMGCTTATTCGAGCAAATACGGTAGGCGAATATCACTGTTTAAACTTGGTGCCCGCGGGACCCGAGAACTAGTGCTGGTGGCAAGGCGAAAATTCGAGCATTTGCGTTCCTAGGGTGAACGCATCACCTTGAAAACATATAAGACCTTWAAGTGCCTAACCCCAACCCATACCCTGCGCCCTCCAGAATACCTTTAGGGCCGCTACGCAGGCTAATAAGCCCAGATCAACAATTTCTTACTTGGTAAACCACTTTGAAACTGAAGTTGGTATTATAATTCCTGCTTTTTACTGGTGGACATCGTCGTATTTTGCGTTGTCAACATTTATATTTTAAGAAATGAATCGAATAAAAAAAAGCTGGACAAAAACGAAGGCTCAAGTTTGAAGATGGAAATTGAGAACCTCACATAGGATTTCAAATTCCAATACGAGGCGCAGCCGAGACGGAAATGAGCGTGGACTCGGTCCAAAATGGTTGACTTTGAACGATTCAAATTCTCATTCATGATTSCAAAGGTAAATATCTCTTGATTTCCGAATGCAAAGTTTTAATTTAAAGCAACTCAAAACTTATGAGCAACTTACAGCAACTCAAAACACTGAGGTAAAAACTTTAATAACGTTTACAAGAAGCTAAGATTGCTTTACATTTTTGTTTTTTTACGAGTTATTTTACGGCCGCGAGAGGAGAGCTGCAGGTTTTACGAGTCGTATCAAGACCCCATATAACTTTCGGCCCTCGATGCCAAGTGAATTTTAGAAATTGCATCAGTTTTCGACCGTACACGAATTCTCGACGGCTTTTTTTATTTCCTACTTTCAACAGCTTTTTCAACAACATCCAT